GACCAATCGTGAAGCAAATGCCCACTTGACTCCATCCACTTCGCTATTGGTCAGTTTACTGATATGACCAATAGCGAAGTGGATGACGTCAATGGATTAACATTTGGCGCGATGAATATTACCATCATTAGTTCACAGTTTGCATCTTTTCCCGCCCAGTAATCGAGCACTACAGCATCGTAGATGAAAGCGTCAAGTTCGCTAAAATAATTATGTATTAGTGTCATCCCTTTTAACATATGCGGTAACTCACTCATTTCTGACCGCTTCCACTCCGGCGGAAATGTTATCGCGGAAGAAATGATTTTTCTTCACGTATTCATGCATATTTTTCCAGTTTCTCTTCATTGTTTCATGTGTGTTGCCACCATCTACGGTTCCATAGCGAAAAGGTGGTTGTTGATCGGCTGGATAGGCTAACTGAAATGTGAGGGGTGGCTATGATCCGGAAAGGAAATTGTGGGAAAGTGGCTAAAGGTTAGTTACCATAGGATCGTGGATGCCGCTCAGGTCGTAGTACTGTATTCTTGTGATCATGAAAGCAGCAAGATTTGCGGTGTAAACTGCTAGAAAAGTGAGACCGAAAGCAGCCCATACTAGCGCCATGCAGCGAGATACGGTAGATTTTGGGACATCTGAAAGTGAAGATGGAGTTCCGAAAGGGAGACGGCTTTCTTGGGAAATTACAGTCATCGCGATAGACGGAGGTCCAGTAGGGCCTACACCCACGGAAAGACCTATGGAACAATCTAAATGCAGCAGCAACGCCTTCGAGCCGCAACGAATATGACTCACGACTCATAGGCATCCTCGCCCCTGCACGATATAGGGACAGCGCTGTGCAGCTAAATGTCACTGAAGTAATGCTTTGGAAGGCGGCGTTCGCTGTCATGAGGTGGCGCGAAGCCTATGAGTGGTGACGGGCACACCCGTTACGACTCGTAGGCATTGTTGCTGCATTATAGATTTTTTTCATAGAATTTTGTATCACTGCTGCATGCATTGAAGCAAATCTTTACCTGTTGAAACGCTAGCGCTAAATAAAGTTGCCCAGACCAGCCAATAAGAGCGACAAAGCGAGAACTTGTGGTCTAAATTGCATCTATTTTTCTACAAAAAAGGTAAGGATAATTAAATAAATGAGAAGATTACCTGGCGGAGGATACTTGCTCATATTGAAGGAGTAGGGGCTAACCCATTCGAAGATAAAAATTGAAAGAGCCGCTCCTTGTATAGAAACCAACAGAATTACGACCCAAGTGGAGTATTCGAATGGCTCTGCAAAAGGAACTTTAGTTTCTGCAGACAATGAGAGTTTGTAAAAAAAATACCTAAAAACGCCGTCGGCGAAAGTACGCCACTTCTGATTTTGACGATAATGGCTATGCCCGTCTCGAGAAACGGCAGCGAAAAGTCTATGTCCCTTGCTCGTTCAGAGTTCAGCTTTAGCGATGTAACACACATATCAGCTTTGTTATTGATGAGATCTGCGATGAGTCCATTCCAACCAGAATCCTGTTAGCATATCATATTTATGGAAATTTTGCAATAACCCATTAATTCTGCAAAACCAGCTCATAATCGTTCGGCTTGTTCTCACATCATTTTGCTAGCCAGCTCCTCTACTTTTTGCTGAAAGGTGCTGTCCACGGAAATCCGATATTGGTGAGGTTTTGATGCAGTACAATAGTGAGGCCCCTGACTAAATAAATGCCCAAGTCCTGCTGCAAAAGATGTAGTCCGAAACGAGAAAATAGCCCCAGAAAGTGGGTGCTGTTGGG